CAAATGCGAATCATGTGCTAAAGTGGTAAAATATGGTCTGGTGTATACCATGTGTTTGAAATCCTATCACGCTATGCGTCTTGGGACGGGGATGACAAAACGGTACACTAACATGGCAGAGGCATTTTGGTTCTGCCAAGTATGCAATTCTATCCCAGTTGTTAGCTGTCTAGCTGTGCTACTGAAGAGGTGTGAAAGACTAACAGAAGCGGTCGAGCAACTGGTGAGCGCCAGGGTTACACCCATGGGAGGAAACGGACCTGCAATTGTAAGTGAAAATAACACCCCGAATTCCCTAGTCAGGCCGAAGAAGAGAGCCAGGCATCCCAATCTAACCCCAACGACAGCCTCCAGCAGTATCAACTCCATTCTCTCTCCTATAAGTAAAAACATTGCCTGCAGCGCGTCTGCCTCAACTTCTGTACAGTGTGTTGCACCTAGTAGTCTGTTCGCTACACAGGAGACCGTAAGCTACAGTCAACCAGCCATAGTGAACAACCCGGCAACGTACGCATCGGTTGTCGCCAAGCAAACACCGGAAAGAACACCGGTAACTTTTGTGCCTGGACTAGAGAAAACTAAAGTGTCGCAGCACGGATGGCACCCATCAGTGCCATTCATAAATTCACCAAAAACACCGGATACTAAGGCTCCAAATCCAAAACTAGTAGCCACCAGGCGCAATCATGGTGCCTTAAACGTTGTGTGCACAAATGTCCCCGAATCCAAATCCAATACAATTAAGGGTAGCTTGACGGACGATCGAAATCAATGGGGTTCCATCTGTAAGTCGATCGGTGTCCATGCTGATCCCACGACATTAAAAAGAATCTCGCGTCACCCAAACGCGTTGCACTACGGCGAACCCCGGTTACTTCGGGTAACACTAAACTCGGCGGACGAGACTGAGGTCGTTCTGCTGTCTGCGAATCATCTCCGCAACGACTCAAGTAGAGTGCGCATACTACCTGAAATCCCGTGGAAAGAACGTTCAGCGGATCCCGCTAACAAAGAGAGGTACAGAAAAAGTCAAGATAAAGAAAACAGTGATTGCTCACGGTGTTCCTGAGCTTACAGATTCCTCTTCCGACGATGCTCAGATGCACGACCGCGAGCAATGGCACTACATCCGGGAGGCTCTTTCTCTCGAAAATGTCGTGGCCACCTCGTTGACAAGGATCCTTATATCACCAAACTATAAGGGGTGCGGTCCCAGGCTGTTAAAACTTGTGTTGTAATCAGAACTAACGGTACAAACACTTCTAAAGAACTGGACTAAATTCCGTAGCAGATTGCCAACAGAAATTCGTCTGAAAGCAGCGGGAACACCAGCACCTTCTAATGACAATTCAGTGGAGGCACAACTCTTAATGAAAACGCCAACTGCAGGACTCGACTCGGGACGGTTTCAACAGTAGCCATAATATCCGGAGGGACACAGCAGAGCACGAGCAAACACCGGGATCCGGGGCATCTGATACTTGACTATATACCAAATTCGTCTCGAGAGTCTGCAACCCATCCAAAAAACGATTAGTCGCCGACCCTTTATTGGTCGGCGTAAACTCACTTGCTTCATCCATCCAATCTAACACACTTTTGGTCTCCGAGAAGCTCTCATGCATGTACACAAATGCCCAAGGTCTACTCAGCAAATTAGCTGAATTAAGACTTCGACACGCGTCAGCAACTTGGGACCTCATCGCTGTCACCGAAACGTGGTTGCGCTGTGAGATAACGGATGCTGAAATCGCGCTAACAGGCATGTCCGTTGTCCGGAAGGATCGAGCCAGCAAAGTGGTGGGGTAGCCTTCTACTTTCGTAACAACCTGCAATGCGAACCCATAAAGGATTCGGAAACCGACATACCTGACTCCATTTGGTGTAATTTCCGGCTGAGGGAATGATCTTGGCCTATTGGTGCAGAGACTGGAATGGATCCAGCATGTAGCTACCCGGTTCATCCCCAGTTTACGGAGTATGTCGTACGAGGACCGATATAGGAGACTAGAGCTTTATACCCTGTCATTTCGTCGGCTTCGAGTTGATCTCAAGATGACGCACCGCATATTGCATCTGGCTCACTTCGCTATGGTGAGGCCGTTGCTGCACGTTCGCGCAACAGAGCAGCACACGCGGACACCACTACAAACTATTGATACCGGATTTAAAGCGCATCGCTCACCCTCTATGCTTCGCGCGTCGAGTGGTGAAATATTGGAACAAGTTCCCGGAGACGCTAGTCGAGGCGAAATCGGTGTCGGAATTTAAGAGATTCCTTGACGTCCACTTTGCGGACTACAGGTATAGGGAGCGTATGACACCCGGATAAGATGTAGTGCAGCTGCAAAATGCTGCCACCACGCAGGAATCAGCGACGTGATTCCGCGCAAGTGCCCGATCCACCTACGATGAAGCAACACAGATTTTTATCTTCTCGCTCTCTACTTTTAGTATTCAGTATTCTATTGATGCAGGACAACCAGGAACGGTTAGTTTAGGGGTTGCTTCGGAGGCTGAGGTCCGTAACGCGATCACAGCCCTCAATCGTTTTCGTGATGCTAGCCCGGATTCCCTCTTATTTGCAGTATTGAAGGATGGAGGTGAGGTCATCTGCAAAGCACTGACCACACTGTTTGAAAATGTCTGGAAAGAGGAGACCATCCCGACTTACTGGAGTGAATCGATTATAGTGGCAATATACAAGAAGGGCAGTCGCACAAACTGTGCTAACCACAGAGGTATTAGCCTAACGCCAGTTGTGACGAAAGTATTGGCCTCGATTCTCGTTCATCACCTCACATTGGAACGGGAATTTCATTAGGGAAAAGCAGGCTGGTTTCCGCCCAGAACGTGGCTGTATAGACCATATATTCACTTTGCGGCAGGTGCTAGAGCAACGCCACGCATACCGTAGACCGACAAAAGCCGTGTTCCTCAACATCAAGAGTACGTTCGATTCTGTCGCTCGATGTATTATGTTCGAAATACTTACACGGAAGTGTTCCCACGAAATACGGGAACATCTTACGTGCTCTATACTCGAACACTACAGGTCGCGTCAGGGTCTATGGCGACCGGTCGGATAGCTTTCCGGCGACAAGTAGCGTTTGTCAGGGTTGTCCGATTTCCCTGTTTTGTTCAATTTCCTCGTGGACTCCATCATGGAATGTTCCTTGCGGAATCTCACCATGTACGCGTTGAGGTCCTGCCTGCTGAAATGTTAGTTGATCTTGATTATAATGACGATATCATCCTGCTTTTTGACTATATTTGGGGCGGACCAATCAAACATGAATAGCCGGTCTAGAGTGGTCCAATTATTTGGTATGCACTTCGCATCTTCAAAGTGCAAAGTGTTGCTGCAGGACCACCAGCCACTTGATGACCACTTGACCCTCGCTAACGAGGATCTCGAGGTGGTTGGTCAATTCACTTATCTCGGCAGCTGCATCAGCAATGATGGGCATATAGAAAGTGAAGTCAGTTCACGCATTCAAAAGCCAGAACTGCCTTCCTGGACGTGCGGCATCTTTGGCGAAAGAAGGGAGTTTCCGTACGTCTGAAAGGCCGTGTATACAAGGCCACAGTGAGGACCGTCCTACTCTACTCCGTCTGAAGACCTGAGGCGACTTCAAGTCTTTGATCATCGTTGTCTGCGAAGCATTGCTGGTGTCGGATGGCACCATTGTGTCCACAACGATGATGTGCGTAGGCGAGTACTAGGTAATGATAATTATGCTAGCTCGTAGAACAACAGATAGCACTGAATAAGTTGCGTTGGCTCGGGCACATGCTACGCATGCCTGGTCACCGTTTACCTAGGAGGTCCTTGTTTAGTCTGCCAGGTGTAGAGTGCGCAAAGCTCTAGGTGGACAGAAGTTGACTTGGCAGCGGGAAATGAAGTCACTGACGACCAAACTGGGAGCCGTTGGTCCGTTTCGCCTCCCGGGCTGAAGTTCACGTGATCCCCTTGTGCTTGGCTCGAGACTTTACAGGACATGGCCCGCTGTCAATATCAGTGTGGCGCGTCTACTGCCGTCTCGTAGTCTGACTGTCTGTTTTAAGTGTTTTGTGCTGAGCTATCTGCGGGGTAATGGCCGCAAGAAAGCTGTCTCGCCGTTCCTGTCTTATCTTTCCACGATAGCCAGCTGTTTGCGACGGTATGTTGTTAACACAAGGTGTAGGCGTCTTAACTCTGCATGTTAGCTTAGGGCATTAAGGTTTTCAGGTAAGTCCCCCTTCTCTCCCTCTTATTATTCTTCATTCCATAGTTCATCATGGTTGTATGGCAGCGAAGCATCAGTTCAAATGACTGATGTACTGCTATTGTTGATGATGATATTGATGCACAGCTAATGAGAAAAGTTCTGGCTGGTTCACGGTATGCACATTTTACACGCAGCGCCTCGGTGGCGGAAGCGCTGCCAAACCCTGAGCTATCGTTCTGATTACGCATCAATGAAAACAGTTCATGAATCACCTCCGGTAGTCATGCACCACTAAAATTTGGTCATTGGTATTTCCATTGGAAAAGAGACATGGAAGTTAAGCCTAATCCTCATGCACCATCATTTGTTTGTAGTGACTAGCATTTGGTCAAACCAACCGAACGTGTGAATTATTAACCGCTTGCTTGATAGAAAATATCGGTCATTCAATGTCAGCATTTCGATGCATTGGCGACAACAATTGAAACGTAGTCCCCTCGGTGAACGCATTGAGTCGTAGGTGCTCCAGGAAAATTTCAGAACAGCTACGCGATAATATGAGGCTTAAGTTATCCAGTCCGGACACTTTGAGGTTAGTTCAGTGACCTACAGTGCTGTAGTGTAATCAAACTTTCAGCAGTCCCTTACCGTCTGCACGCTCGTCGCATAAGCACACATTTTGGCGAGTAAAATTAAAAATGATACCAAGTTTGCTCGTATATGGTCGCATGTACTTTAAGTCGCAGCTTGCGCGATGCACCCTCCTTCACTGTTTTTGTTACTTTCCAGGTACGTGAATTTTTGATTGCAGTCTACATGGAGCCATTTCAACTGAAGGCAGCCTATGTGTGGAAGTGGGTAGTACATGCCCTGCGTCGTGTGGATGCAGTGGCCACTCTTGGTCAACCAACTGCGGCGCTCAGTCTACTTCTGCATGCTGATGGACTCCTGCCAGTCGGAGGCCCCAGGTCTGTCAGCGTGCACACAGATTCGCCCAGTGAGGTCTTATTGGGAACAGATCTAAGCATAAGCCACGACAAACCCCAACGCACCGGTGAACTCAACCTCGTGCTATCCGCCGCAACGGTCTGTGAGATCAAAGTAAGTTTCGTATTGTGACTTCTCGAGCAACCAAACGCCACACCCTTACCGAATGAGCTTGTATGAGCGGCGTGCACTAGCAACCATCTTGGTATATGTTATTGTCATCGTTGCAGCGAGGCTCTAATTGTACGAGTGAACGTGTGTTGCTGCATGACTGACCTTTCTTCCCAGCTGACATGTCAGGTTTCTGGGTGCACGATGCGGATGCTGTCAATGATCCAGGTGGATCCAACCGGTTGTTAGAGCGCATAGCGGGTACATCCTCAGAAAAGGGACTAACCTCGATGAGTGGTTACAACATGGAAGGAGCTAAGCCCCACCGGTTTCTTTTGGTGCATCTGCTACGCATGCCACTCAAGACGCCACATCAGTGGTATGCGGGCTGAAGGTATAGACTATTTTTGAAATAACCGCGGCTTTCACCTTCATACTCGCGGATTTTATTCCTTCGGGGATATGTTAGACATGGAATGTGTTCGGGTTCCTGTAAGCTACTCGTGGCTTCTCTGCAGATATAGGAGTCCCTTAGCTGTTTATATTCACACCAAAACAGAGGCGCCCAGGTGCTGTTCAAGAGCACAGTGAAACTAACCAACAGTTAGGCTAGCCTAACGCCATGTGTTAGTGAGGGTGCTCAATTGACATAAATATTTGTTACAATGTTTAGTTGCCTTCTTGCATGTCGCCACCGTTTGTTTCTTGACATTGGTTTAAACGCAGCAATCTTTTGGTCTGATTGTCTGGCCTACGTCGTGCGAAATGGATGTCATCTCAAGGGTCTATTCCGCTAATGCCGCTCCCTCCAACTCGCCTGATTGGTTCTTACTTTTGTCACTTCTCATTCGCCTGTATTATTCCTTGTTTCCTATGATGCTGGTTGGCTTCAAAGTGGTTTAGTAGCTTTGCTTCACCAACTATTGCACCCGATATAAGGAAGCAACGTTCTCATGCATACAATTCGGCCGGGTTTGTCTTCGGGTTCTTTCTGCGATCATGGCGGTATGAATAATCGGCGGCGACATAACACCATGCACACAAGGCGACGTTTTGAGTGATCGTTCCCGTTCATCCCGATAGGCTCGCAGTGCTTGTACTTCAAGTAAGTACTTAGCATGATTGGGTAATGCGGCCCAGCACACACGTTCAGCCCCCTGAAGTAAGCGGAGCCACCAGACAGATATGCCAAAATCACCTCCTCAGGTACAATAATCTAGTATAAGACCAGTTTGTCACATCACGCGGCAGATCATACTAGCTGAACATAAGTAAATTTTTGGCGCGAAATTGCTCGATTTCAAGAGTGCTTCGTCACACCTCCGCTGTATTGGTAGTTGATTCCAGGAATACAGGACAGATAATGTTGATAAGCAGATAACCAGTGAGATATGGAGAGTGTGCTGGGCCATGGTAACCTGGGGTTAATCGCCAGTAAGATATTACATTATTCGTCACCTCCCGGAATTGTAAACCTAGAACGTTTTTTGCAAAGTCAACTGCAACATCACTATCAGCAACAGCAGTACATCAGCCATGTGAACGAATGTCTCGCTGTCGTACAACCACGGTGACCTACGGAACGAATAAGAATAAAAGAAGCGGGACCTACCTGAAAACTTTATGCCCCAAGCAAACATTCAGGGTCAAGGCGCCTACACCTTATCAACAAAATAACTTCACAAACAGCTGGCTATCGTGCAAAGATAGGGCGGCTTTTACTGTCCCGCGTCATAATCAGTGCCATCAGTCAACTACATCTGCAGCCACATGGCAATGATAAGCTGCACCGTTCCGCACTCAGTCACTTGCATTCTGTTGCGTAGTGTGGTACGTCCAAGATATTACGATGCTAACTGCTGTCAATTTGTCCGTCAACTACAGCCACATAGTTATCTGGAAATTACTGCAGACGTATAAGCGTTGACGGTTCGCCCACGCGGAACCACCCCACAATATATCTGATACTCCTCGGACAATTCTCGATATTTTTCTCATCATACCAACAGCACACAAGCCAAATAGTCTGGTCCTCAATCCGGAAAAAAACCCTAGACGATTGTTTTGCCCTATTAGGGCTCGTCAAGGGTGCGCAATCTCTCGGCCTTCTACGGCGAACCGAACCCAGGACGGCTAGCATCTTATGTCACTAAGCCAGGGGGCAGTTGCAGACCGTCAAAACTTGCAAGCTAACTGGGATATAGAGCGACTTAGCATCCACTGCCCTGCTTTTGCAGTCACTGACCTCCAGAGGTCACAATTACCAATGCATCTAAGCAAAAAATCCCCCCAACGGCATTCAAACGCTATGCATACATAGCCACTGTGTAACGGAAGTCCTGATCTCCGGAGGCCAGCCAATATCCTTTGCAAGAGTAATAGCTTGCATGACAATGGAGGACAAGCCGTGCTATATCCAGTTAACTTACAAGTTATGACAGTCTGCCACTGTCCTTCGTGGCATAAGCAGCTGGCTAGTTGGCGCAAGCTGTTAGCAGTCATGATTTCGGTCCACCAGAGGGGGCCGAGGGATTGCGAATCGCTGAGGAGCCCCAATAGGGCGAAACAATCGTCCGATGCTTTTCAGGATTGTGGACCAGGCTATCTGCCTTGTGAGCTGTGGGGACGGATCAGTAAAATTTCCTCTAAAACCCTCCTAATCATCAGTACTTCTCGATATGACTGTCTATCGGGATACCTGAAGCAGTAGCTGCGGAAGGAGTTAAGACTACCTACCTTGATTTCTCGAAAGTTTTTGATTGCCCAGATCACCGCATTCTTGTCGAACTTCACAACACTAGGATCGGTGACTGTCTTCTGAGTTAGATACATGCATTTCTACTCAACGCAGCTTAAATATAAAAGTTCGTGGTCCATTGTCTGATCCAGTAGAGGTGCACTGTGGTGTCCCGCAGGGTTCGGTGTTAGGACCACGCCTATTCCTGGTGTGAATAAACGATCTCGCGGGAGAGATGACCTTAACCTTTTACTCTTGGTGGATGTTTTCAAGAGTAGGTTGGCGACCGAGTCGGTAGACGATCACATAGCCCTGCAAAACGATATCAACAGAGTTTACGAAAGGTCAACTCAGAACAAGTTCGAGTATTCATCCATTCATTATACACGCTAGCTGCAGGTGGAAAACACCTCAGCTATTGTACCGCGATACAAAAAAGGAAATTAAAAAAATATGAGACTCACATCGGCTGAGACACCATTGACGAATGGCAATCGTTTCTGAGAGCTAAAAGCCGGCTAGTGTGCCACAAGAAGTCATATTATGCCTATTAATTGAGATCGTGGTTGGAGGGGAAGGCTAAGCGGGAGGCGGATAGACAAAGAAACTCGCAACATAAACGCCATTGAGATCGGCTCCTAGCCAATGTCAACAAGTGAATCCAGCCAAAGGTGTTCATCATCCTTCGGTCCCCAACCAAGGAGCCGAGAGGCTCCAACCGAGGCCAACTTCAATGAACAATGAATTTATACGGGTTAAGAAGCGTTGTTTTACAAGTCCCGTTGGATAGTTGGTGGGGGTATCGAAATAACAATAATGATAAAAATAGTAAAACAGTTAGTACTGTAAATATGAAATAAGGAATTAACGTTTGCTCTGCTGTAGTCCTGCAATCCGCTTAGATTCACAGCACCCACAGTTACCATCAAATAAATCCATGGTAAACTCCAGGTGTAGGATAGAGACGTAGCGCTAAATGACAAAGTGTAAGTGGATGAATGCGTCATCCAAACGTGTCGGTGCAGAGACGACCGATTCTGGGAGAGCATTCCACGGGTGACAGACACAAATGGAAAAGAAATTTCTGCGGCACTCAAGGTGACCATACTGTCATGCGAGTTTCAATAAGTAGCCCCTCAGGTTTGTATTGCTGCTGTGTTGCAGTAAAGGACGGCACACATGATGTGGGTCTCGCAGAACCAAGTCTGCCATAATCAAGTCGCCTCGTAGTCTGTGATAGCTTCCACTGAACAATCCTAGTCGTCGCAGCCTCTCCTGGTATGCAATATTGCGCATTCCAATTACGTTCTTAGATGCCCGACATTGTGGCTGCTCCAGTGCATTAAGGTCGTGTTTCAGCCATGGATGCCAGGCTTGCATTGCGTATTCGACATGGGGGCGAACATACGCACTGAGCATTTGTCGAAATATGGAGCTGTTTATTTGTCCAAACGCCCGTTGCAACACCCCGACGTGTTGGTTCCCAGTGCTCCAGGCCTTTTCGGATTGCCTGGAGCAACCCAAGTCATCTTGAACCAAGACACCCAAGTCACGTTCGACAGCTGGTTGTTGCAGTATATTCGTTCCGAGCCGGTATTGGTAGCTACTTTGATGTCGGATGGAAAGTACCTTGCATTTACTGAGGTTGAAATGCAAAACGTTTTGGGTTGACCATTGATACACCGTATCTAGGTCACTCTGAAACACATGTTGGTCGGCGTTCGCCTGGATCCTGCGCCAAATTTTGATATCGTCGGCAAACATTAGGAAGTTTGAAGCGATTCCCTGTGAAAGATCATTAATAAACACCAAAAACAAACGTGGACCTAGAACTGAGCCTTGCGACATACCACACTCGACTTGTATTGGGTCCGATAAAGAGCTCCGAACTCTGACCACTAATTGTCGTTGAAGTAGAAAGTTGGCAATCCAGCTTAAAAGAGGGTCGCCGATCTCGTAATGCTGCAGCTTGGAGAGTAGTATCCGATGGTCTAGACGATCGAAAACCTTGGAAAAATCCAGGTAAATCACATCAACGTCTTCTCCAGCGTCAGCTGCCTTGGTCCAACTACTGCGTGCGATCAGTAAATTCGTTGTGCATGACCACTGTCGGCGGAAACCGTGCTGCTCAGGCGTGATGATGTTGCAGTTTTCCAGATAGCACACCAGTGCATCGGCAACTATGGATTCCATGACCTTGGAGAGTATAGGAAGTAGGGATACTGGGTGGTAGTTAGAGGGCCCAGTTCTGCTTCCACCTTTGTGA